TCAAACCAACCAACCACGCCAACCGTGGCTTGCAAAGAGGAGAGCGAGGGAATAAGTGGAAATTAGGCGACTGGTGTCTTAATGCTGATTGTTGTGTTGGGAGAAGAAAACCATTTATTTCATGTTGAAAGTGTGGATGTCACTTTTAACATGTTAATAATCTCATCATCAGATAGGGCGACATACGTAATGATACTCGGAGATGGATATTTACCACCAACCAACCAACCGTCATGTGTGGCTTGCCTGGCGTGGCGTGAGTTGTGCAATGATAAAATATCATCTTGGTCCACTCGCACCTTGTCCAACTAAACGTTACTTATTACCCCAAGGACCAAAGTAAGCAATGCATGTACATCTGTAAGCATGGACGGACGGACGGAGGATGATCATCACGATGGTCGAAGGAAATCATAAATTCGTCAATTTTGCTTTCCGAAAAGCGTGAAAAAGTCATATTTCACTAAATATTATTTCTCTACCTCTCCACATCTGTAAATCTCTCTTGTACGATTTTCTATCATGTACATGTACGCAGCTCGACGTGCCCAAATATGTAAGCCATTCACTCCAACAACATCTGTTTTTCCTTGATCATTTATTTCCAAATAGGGCACAATAGAGGAAAAATTATGCTGCTGAGAAAAACTGGGAATGAGAGACTAATGCTCACTCCTCAGTTGTCCTTGTGTTTTGTGAGGACAACGCCACATTTATTTATTATTATTAAGCCATCACTAAACGAGGTGCTATTTATCAGAATCATTCTGAATTAAGTGAGTAAGGGACACTCAATGAAATGATGATGGATCCAGCCTCCGAGATCATACTCCTAATTTTCTAATCCCCTTGTTTTGTGTGACACAAAAGAGTCCAGTAGTCCAGCCCATCCAGTCAGATCAGAATGGAGAGACAAGAAAAAATTGGTGTGCAGCTACCTACTTATTATTATTTCCTAGACTTTCACACCCTGACTTGCCACATATGTACGAGTACATACATACATGCGTCTGTATTGTTTGTGGTCGTATATTCTTGGTGATGCGAGACCAATGGAGAAATTCGGCCTTAATTGAGTCAGCAGAGTTTCTGGTCCCTTTTTCAATTCGAATCGGTACCCCTTCGTGGCCACGTATCCTTCATGTGTGTGGAATGAATATGTCATTATTAAGTGCAGTTAAGCTACTTCCTTCCCCTCCTGGAAACTTTTGTTCTTCTTTTCCCTGAGTTATGTCTCCATCATCATCATCATAATCATGAAAGGTAGAGAATAACAACATACATAATCTGGGAACGGTCCTGTAACAAGAACGAACAAACTAACTGGCTCTCTCACACCACCAATAATAATATTAAAATCCACAGTTTTTCTCCCTCTCTGTCTTTATCTGGCTAGATTTTCAAAATTGGTGATGGTGGATGGATGCATATGTAAGTGAGGACTACGAACGAAACGAGCACTCTCCTTTACAACTTAATTAATCTCTGCATGCTCACTTTACGATACTTTTTAGTATTTCGTATGTACCATGGGCTTTGGGTCGAGGCGTTTATTCCTGTCCAATAAATCATGGTGAATTTCTGACTCGATCTTCTTCATCTTGTTGCCTTGCTTGGTACGGGGTATGATAATTTCTACATTTTTTTACTCCCTCCCTCTCCGTGCCCTTCTCAATATTCTATAAGAAGAGGTGATTTTATAGTCAGAGGATTTCAAAATGCGTGCTAAAAATGGGTCCATCGCTTACACAAAATTTGGCCGACCATGTATGTCTGCATACGATACCAAAGTAAGTAGTAAGTAAGAACTGCACCCTATTTATTCCTCTCCTATTTATTTCGCTTGTCGTCGTCATCGTACATTAGAAGTGGCACGATGATCACGTAATAATCCTCCTGCCTGCTTCCCATCTCTTCTAAATCTGTCTACATCATCATCATCATCAACGTCAAGGGAGCAGGGAGATACAAATCACAGTGTTCACAGTATAATGGTAATTGATGAAGTCCATCGTTTTTCACTGATAGTTAAGCGACTCTGTCCAACCAAATCTATCATCATCAGTTACAGCGCCTCATCATTGAACGGGAAGCTCGGCAGGAGGCTGCTATTTGCCAAGGATAAGAAAGAGCGACGAATATTATTATTATTGTTATTAGTCGATTTAACACTGATTCAATGGACGGACTAACTCGACTACTTCGCTCTCATCATCACGGCTTATTTTCTTCACCTCTCTCTCATTTCTAATTGACTCCTGCGACGACGTGCTAGTATGTGCATGGTTGAAGCAAAGACGACTAAAATACAAGGATAAAATCACACAAAGCCTTTTGTACTCGCGTTGTAAAGCATTGTCCTCCTCGATCCACGTTATTATCATATTCTTCTTAAACCGAAAAGAGGCGAGCACTGTGTAAAAAAAGAGGCTTCTTCTCTCTTCAATGGGGTTGGGATTCGAGCAAATTTTAGCAATTGTATAAGCATCTCGTTGTGTGGGAGCATGACTTGACACGTCAAAAGGATTTACTAAATCGAACAAATTGAAGCATGGCAAACACTCTACTCTGACAAAAAGTGGGGACTATATAATCTCCTGCACAATGAAGCACAAGTCAAACCGGGGACAAAAGTCGCCTTCATTTCATTGAGTCCGGCACAATGAGAAAGAGAGAGAGAAAAGTTGTGAGTTAATAGACCTTCGCTTGAATTCCGAAAAGTCAGATGTTGTTTGTTACAAGTTAATAACGTCATTGTTATGCCTGGGGAAAGTTGGTGCTTATGCAGTTGCTCTTCCTTCATCCGCATTGACTGACATGACATGGTTTTCTGTGTGTAAGCTTCACCCAGTTAGTCAGGGTTTGACCTCCTCATCGTTCGTGCGATGTGGCCTACCGCATTTCCATTGTGGACCATTATCCAACCTCTCTCCACTCCTTTGTCCTCTTTGAAAAGGTGCTGGGTGATGAGACGACGATGATCTGGTGGTGACTTGATCAATATAATGAACTAAAGCAAAATGCTGTATACACGGGATCAATGAGTCTCAATGGACGGATGAGAATCGAATATCATTTCCACTTCATCATCATCATCTGAATATGTATGTATCCACTGCGGATTAGTTTACCCAATTGTGCTCATATTACAATACACAAGCAGTTGTTATTCCACCTCAAGGGTCGCAATCTTCCTGACCGTGTGGATAATATACTCATTTTGAGGGTCACTTAACCACAAAGGTGTTATCGAGCAAAGCCTTTAAGCGACTTGCATGAAAGTGTGCTTAATTTGCCGAGAAGGGTGTGACCGACGGTTTATGTAGTATTCACCGTCCGTGTGGGTGAGTGAGATGCATAAGTAGATTGAGTAGTAAAAGAAATTCTATTCCTTGTACTTATTGTCCAATTTAGCCCATATTCAACTCTGGAGCATTGTTGCATTGAAATTTGAGAAGCAAACAGCTTTTACCGAGAAGTTGAACCATGCAATACAAATTAAGTTGGAGACATATTTTGGCAAACTTGTTGTTATGTTGGTGTTACAGGGATCGAATAACCGGAGGTGGCGGGGGGAGGAGGAGATCTGCGAATCTCTGCATACGCTCAAAATTAGCATGCATTTTGAATGTGCTGTGAAAACTTGGTCGTCAATCAGTCATGATCGAGAATCCAATCCAGTGGTCCAACTTAAACATGGTTAGAGACTGGCTGACAGAGTGGTGCGAAGTTGGGCTGATTGGACAAAAAGGTAGCTTCTAAATTGTGTGTAACGATTCCCCGATAAATACTTGTGTTTGAGAAGGAAAATATTGCCAACTTTATTGGCGGTCTCCTTTGTCGGTGAGATAAGTAAAGGGGAGTGAGTAAGAAAACACGATGATGAAGACCATAAAAAACTAATGTTACATCAATAATCAAAATACATCATAATGGGACAGAGCAAAAAATATGAAATAATAAAGATTCGACTCGTAATCATTTCTGAATGAGAGCAACGACTGGCTGGACGCAACTTCATCAGGTTAGTTTCACTGCAACAAAGCCGATAAGTCGTCCCCTCTTCTAAAGTCATCTCGTGCACTGCGACTACTAATAATCCCGACCAACACGTAAAACCAGGTGTGCATGCAAATTAAGCTAATGACCTATACAGCCTTTGCTTGAATGAGATCTTCTTCTTCTTCTCCTCCTTTTTGTTTCTCTCCAGCACGACAACACAGCATTTTAAACAATCCCTATCTACATATTTAGTAGTAAACTATTAGGTAAAACCACAACTGGTCGTTACACGAGATGACGAGTTTCTAGTTATATTGTCACTTATTTTTTACTCCAATTGTGAAGAAATACTTAATTGCTCCACTACCGAATTACCCACTTTTAATAATCAGAGTATTCAGTTACATCCATTTAATTGGAGACGTAGAAAACATGTAGCCACACTTAATTAAAGATATAGTGACCACAAGTCATTATTTATTTCCGGTAGTAGATACTAGAATGGTTTGATTGGATTGGTGGGTAGAATAGTCTTTCATAACAATTAAGACACTCGAGGGTCGGAAGTGGGGGGATTCCACCCAGACCAGTATTTCGTAAGATGTGAGATAATAAATATCCTCCCATGAAAGAAACGACTACTGAAAATGTATCACATTATTTGTTGCATAATCTCATCTCGAAAGGCACTAATTTAATTATTAGCCCCTAAATTGATCCGTATACTCCATCTGTTTGATCTTGAACTTGATGCCATTGATAATACATCGTCGTCTGTATGTATGTACACATGTAATTCTCCACAGCATTGGCACACATCGTCCACTTTCTTCTCCTCATTGTTGTGCAGCTCTTCAAGTAACAAATGGGAAACCGAAATATTATCTTCCTCCTCCTCTCTCAGTTTTTGTTCAGATTTGTATGTAATTGGGGTGTGGATTGATCACATCGTTCGTTCGCAGGATATTTATACAAAGCCCGACGAAGTAGTTAGTTAGTGGTGGAGAACAGCAGCAGCAGCAGCATCATGGAGGTCCAATTCCACCCCAACAACCACACAGATAGATCTTCTTCCTCTAATAATAATTAACACAATTACGGTTGAGGTGAGAGTAAGTAAGAGTTTGGGAGCGAGAGAGACCGTCCGGGTGGCAAATGTATGTTCGTAATAACAGTGATTCTATCGGGAATATAAAAGATTACGTTTTTTGATACCCTCTCGGACATGCGAGAGAGCAGAGGGAAGGATACAAGTCGGAATAGGAGGCAACAATGGTATGTATACCGAAACCCTTATTGTATCGCTGATGATGATGATGTATTGGGTCATATTAAACTATTATTAACAAGTAGTTTATGGGAGAAAAACACGAAAAAGTGGAGGATGTGAGTGAATAAAGGTTTTCGTTTTTTGGGTCTAGTATACAAATTAATGGGCCAATGTAGCAAAAATGTAATTACAATCCCATTCATCGGACGAGAGGACCATAACCAGACGACGAGGGAGAAAGCACAAGGAAATAAAGAACCCAAACCACCGCTACCACGAACCGCATTTATTTCGACTTTCATTGGAGAACAATACGCTACCAGAGAGGAGAGAGATCCAATCAAGCTACCGGTCTCGTAATTGGAGTCACCATTCCACTCTTATTGAATTACGCCACACAGTACAAACGAGAAATCAAGGAAGGTTTCTCCTCAAAAGAATGAGACCACCTCAAATTTTCAGGTTCCCCACATCAGTTATTTATCGGGACTCATTTTTTTTACTAACAATGTAAGTAATACAAACCCATTTGTAAAAATTTACTCGAAATTTTTTGTATTTACTCAAAATTTACTCAAAATGTCAGTTAATCACAAAATTTATTTTAAAATGTGGCAATTAAGTTTTAAAATTTGTATTCATCGTCACTAAAACGGTCCGTCCCAGAAGTCCTACCAGGTTTGAAGGACGTATTACGCCCATGCTGCTGCTGATGATCAATTAGTCGTCTTTTTGTTGTTCCGGTGTTGATTACGATGAATAACACTTTTACGCAATATGTTATTTTTTCCCTGCGTACGTAATGCTCCGTCATTATTTTCAATGTCTGGCCTAAAATTAGCACAAGCAGAGTAATCCAAGACAACGACAACACATTGTTGTTGCTCAATAATTGCGGTAATGATTATTTAATTTGTTCCTGAAATATAGTCCAGTGGCAGAAATAAAATAAAATAATCCAATTATTTTCGTAATTTGTTCCAAACAAGTGAGGACAAATAATGGGCCACCCACCCATCCACCCGTACAGCACGGATTTATTACAACAATACGCCATACGTAGCATACGCCATAGTGGGCTAATAATAAAAAAGTGCATATTATTATTTCACACAGATCTCATTTCCTCTCTGGAATGAGTTTTGTTTGTGCAATTCATTTTTATCATTCACTATTTGCCTGATCCCCTCATTATTATAATAACTTCATTTTCATTTCATTGCATTGTCCAATAATAAAAAGAAGTAGCTTTTCACGACGGCCAAGAAGGTGATGCATTGAGTCTTCAAATGCATGTGTACTAAAACGCATGTGGAGAGAGAGGAACTTCACTTAATTTAACGTTTGAAAAGTGGTTGCTACAATAAAACAAAATGCATCGTCGTCGTTGATCATTAATTACATGATGATATTAAAAATTAGACATTGTTGAATGAAATCATTACGCAATAACTTTGTGTAGAAGTGGATAAAACAAAATTACTATTACTCACTAATAATTCGCTCTCTCACTTTTCAGCCGAGTAATGAGCAAGGATTAAATTACTAAATAAATTAAAGTAAAAGATTTCATTTTATGGATTGGGCAGACATCAACCTCATTATTATACTTTGTGAGTGGTGAAGAAATAGCGTGATTTTTTTACGACTGAATAATAAGACAATACAGATGCAGGCGAAGAAATGTGAATAAATCAAGCTTGTACTAGGAGCGTTGCTTTTGCAGATTTATAAAATACTAGAAAAACCAGTTGTTTAAGGCGAGGATTTGTACACATTTTATTAGAAATTAGCATTTGAAACTTTCATTCTCTGTCCGTACATCATGTGTACATACAACGGTGTGGATTTATTATGGCACGGCAGGCTAATAGAATAATGTGCATTCACTGTGACGCTGACTAATACGAGGAGATTTCGTTACATGCCAACACACAAACCAGTCGCTAAACCAGCTAAACCAACCAACAACCAAGTAAAACTATAAACGCCATATGGATGTTGTTGCACATTTAGAAAAATGATGACCACTTTTGCTCAATGGCTTTCGAGAGGCATTAGCGTCTCCTAAATCAGACTGAGTAATAAGTGTGTAAAATTTTGGTCAGCATTTTAAAACTGGAATTAATCCGAGATGATGGGTAACTAACTAATTTAAATATATATTTCTTGTACTCTTCTTCTGGGTGGTGGGAGTAGATGCTGGCGGATGGATCATGTCATTATTATCATTATGCAAAATGCTGGAAGGGACGTAAATGTATATTCCGTCCAATATTATACATACATAATGATACATATGTACATACATCAGTACGTTGGTTGTCAGTTGAATAGTTTGCGGCGTCCTCGGCGTCCTCGTCGTCGTGGATGGAGAAAAAGTATCTTGAAGGAAGGAAGATAATAACGTGTCGGAAATATTTTATGGTAATGGTGTCATCCTGGTGAAGAGCTGGGTTAAGAGAATGGCTGTTGTTAATAAGAGATGTGTGTATCGGATTGGACGGAGAGGTGTGTGTAGCGTCTTCTGATTAGATGCTTGATGATGGAGATGAAGGATATTAATAAGAGAAATGATGAATAAAATGTATCGGCCACCCAAGAAATCGGGCCGTGGGGCCACCCAACCTGGTCTGCAGAGGACAAAAACACTAAATAGACGCTAATGAGCCTGGCTGAATACTGAATAGTGGTGGCGAGGGGCTCTCTCGGTGCAGTGGTGGTGGTAGCTCCAGACGACCAATGTGGCGAGTTGACTCCTCCCGACTACCTCGAAGGCGGCCCATCTGCGTAAATTGACCTGTCAAACACAAAACTCTTCGCCAACACCAAACCACAAGAAGAGAGCGAGACTCGTTCTCAGCTCGCTTGCCGTTTACCTAACGTTTCACCGTACCACATCTTGTGCTCAGTCCGCCTGGAACTGTACACGAAAGAGCAGCTTGTTGAAAACCAACGCCGAGAAAAACCAAAGCTGTAGCCTCAAGGTTCACATATTGAAGATATACACTCTTTTTTTTAGTGGGAGGCCTTGCCAAGGACCTCCCCGTCATCCTTCGTTTTCTTCGTCGTCGCGGAGTGTGTTGCGTTATTACCTCATTTTCAGTCCCGCAGAGAGAACAATAATATCGCGATAATAATAATCACACCTCACTGACATCTTGTCAGTTGCTGTCCTGCCACTGGCGTTGTTGGACGTTGTTGTTGTCTCCTCTTCATGCTCATCAATTTGCCACCTTGTTACCCTATCGACTCTGTTTACCTATATACGACGAGTGTATAGCACTCAAAGGCTCATTCAGTCATCAGCAGCATCACCGACTTCATACCGTTCCTTCTGGCGCGTATGCATGTCGTCCTCGTGTGGGTGCGTTTCCATCTCATGTCACAAAAGCAAAAGTCATTTCCCGGATTTGCCACAGATACAATAAATCAGTGCAAAAAAACAACGAGTTACCTCCTTCAATGAATCGCTTCGAGTTTGTGGGTCCATTTGCAATTTGGTTCATCGGTGGTGTTAATGGTGACGAGAATATTATTACACAGGATTTTCTGTCGTGTCACTCACCTGTTTAATCAACTCATCTCGTCGTCCCCACTCTACACAAGACAATAGCTTGTTGTCACTCTGTGAAAAATAGACGACAAAAAAAATTACGTTTTATCGAGAAAACATTAGTGCACGGTTCAAGCTCTCGATACATATTTTGACACTTGGGTGAAACTCGCTCGATTTGATTTTTTGGTGTGTTCTTTTTTGTTCCAAGTCATCAAGAACAAGTTCCTGTGGTGTTGATGAGACTGGATGATTTCAATTCATAGAGTGACACGGACAATTGTATTAACTCAACCTCAACGCAAATTTAGTGAAGCGTTACTATTCTACTCACTCACATTTGGGCAGATCACGCCTCGTGTAATTACACAAGAGACAAAAATAACCCTACCAATAAAAAAATATTATACGGATGAGAAAAACCATCAAGTGCTTGAAATTGGAAAATAAAAGGGATGAATGACTATGATAGGTGGCAAAACACACATACATATTTAGAAGAAGTGACCGGTTAATGACTGTAATGTATTTTGGTTGATACTCCAAAATCTAATCCACCCTTCTTAAAAAAGTGTTTATTATGTATTTGGTGACGATAATGATTACGTCACTTTTGAGCAGAAATAAAGTGAAGAAGTAGTGACTGAAAATTAAATACATTTCGCCGACTACGCCTACAAGACCCTGAACAAGTCGTGGTTTAGTCGAGTAAATTAATTTATAAAGTCTCAAGCGGAGAAATTAATTTACAACTGAAATCCGACAAACTGAAAAGCATTATTAAATATTGAGCCGTGTTTCTCTCCCGTGACAGGACAGACTTATACTTGTCATAATCATAATGTCATCAGTCAGTCACCACAGCCACAAATAACGACCACTGCGTCGTAAAAACTGAGGAAAGCGGACTAAACAATTATCGAATAATTTCCTCCATCCATTTTCCCCAGTTGCCACCTCCTCATTAAATATTAAGCCCCTGCGACATAGCCCTTTTCCCATCCATCCCAAATATCGAATGTCTGATTACGAATTAAATAATAGTGCGAAAAACGAAGGGGAGCTTTCTCTCGGGGAATCGCAGTGTCATCACATAATAATCATAATCGGCGTTCTCTCCCATTCCACAGTCCACCTCCATGTTAAGGATTTCATGTTATCGTCGTCCTTACTATTGTGCCGGGTAGTAGAGGAGGAAGACTTGTGTGCGAAAAACTATAATTTCCTGCACTCCAAATGAGTAAGGAATTGTGCATTTTATGAATTTCGCCAAGGAAAAAAGTGAGTGACTTGTTATTTATGCATCACAAAATAAGTTTTTGCTACACCAACGTGGAGAACGATTCCGCCCTGGCAGTCACACTGATTCACGGTGACAAAGTCCCAGAAGAACCAATGTGTGAGGCAAAAATGGACCCTGAGACTGCCGCTGGGAGTGATCGAATCGATGCCAAATCCCCCATTTCGTCCACTACTATAGCGAATGATGGTGGTGGTGGAGAGGGAAAGGTCACCACCACGATGACCACGACGTCCCCAGTGGTGGTGATGAAAGGACCCCTCACCCCTTTCAGCCAGGACGATGAAATGTCTTCCGATGACCTCATCAGTGTCGGAGGCAGCCCTTCCCCCTCCGTCACAACGTCCCCAGACACCTTCTCCAGAACCCATCCGGACGATGGGTGCGAAGAGGAATACTTCAAACCTCTCAAGAAATTGAGAATGCTAAAGGTAATTAAATCCAATTTTTTTGCTATTTATTTAGAAATTTCAAGTCGCACAAAAATCCTAATTATCGCAAAAGACGAGCCAGTAAAAAGTCTGAATGACGGGAAAGATATGATGACAATTGAGATAAGAATCAGGCCAAAGGAGTAGTTGTGACACGGTGAGAAGTTTGGTAGACAAGCGACGACAAATAGTAGAACTTTCAGTTCGGTGCTGTCACCCAATTTCAAGTGGAGATACATGTGTATGTAGTACATATAATCGTAGTAAATTACGGATAGATATGCAGTTCAGGGGGCAAAGATGAGACATTTTTTTGTATTCTCTTTGATTTTATTCTAGAAAATCCGAACTCTATTTTTCTACACGGTTTTATTCTCCCACTTTTACAATACAGTTTCTGAGCACAATTAAGTATTCGTAGAATTTGAATGAGATTCCATCTGGTGCATTATCATGGTCGTGTCTGCTCGTCTATAATTGCCGACAAAGCGTGATGATATGTGGTTGTTGGTGACTGAATGACTGACTGACTATTATGAGTGCACATCTTCTTCTTCTAATTCTCCCATTTATTCCTTTTAGTCTCCATTTGAATTGAAACACGTCGTGAAACGTTATTATGTCTTGAATTTAAAGCGATAAAAGGAATGCGGCAGAAGAGAGAGAAAGACTTACAGGATCATGATCATCATAGGTTTTAGGCATGCTCAGCTTTTTGTAAAGAATTTCTACTACGAAGGAAGAACAAGCTGTTTTATAGATGGTTTGGGTGCATTCTTATCAAAATGATACCATACGAATTTTGGCTCGTCAGATTAATTGGGGAAAGATAGGTATGCCCCTGTTTTGGTCAGACATGCAATGAAAAACCACCTTGATTTCATATTGAGGGACTAAAAATTTCTACCCTACTCCTCTCACATTATGGTTATGCCATTACTATGAAAAACACAGCTTCTACTCAACAAATAAGTAATTGTTGTGTCCTTGGCGTAGTACAAGTAATTAATCCCTTGTCGCCTTATTCCAGGTGGAGCCACCAAGTCAGGGCAACATTCCTGGAGTAAAATCCTTCTCGATAACGGATATTCTAAGTCACAAACCCGCCACGCCCCCCGCCCTCAGTAAAAGTAGTAGCCATCAGAGTGGGAAAGAGACTTCTGGTGGACGCCACAACAAGCAAGAGGTAGTCATCCAGCAGAGAATAGTGCGCCCATGGGACCCCCAAAGTAAATCGAACGGACGTCGCAACTCGTCAGATTCATCACCATTAGACGCTCTCTTCCAAATGACATCCAAAACCTTCGAAGGTCTCAACGGGCATCACGAAAACTCAGGTTTGTGCCCAATAAAATAAGTAATAAGCAATCCATTTTCCGAGACTCGTGCCGTCTTCGCATCCATCCATCCATCCTCACCTCAATCAATCATTAATCATTAAAATGCATGATCCTTTGAACAATGTATCTTTCTCACTGTGAGCGATACAGGTTTTACTGCAGCTGAATCTACAAAGTTGTATAAAAATCGCACACCATTTTTCTCTGAAACATTGTATTGTTTCTCGCTTTCTTTTCTTACCTGGTCCACGAAACGAATAATAATTATCGAGTATTGACAGCATCTGGTTTAATTTAAGACGTATAATTTATTCCGAATAACATTTGTTTGTTTGTGTTACTCCACGCTCTTTGTGTACACACACAACACCACAGCATGCACACCCACACACACCAGAGAGAGAGATGCCCATTTTTATGTCCTACCTCTGCATGCAACGGGAATTAAATAATTAACGGGAAAGGAAAAATGTAAGAAGAAATGATAAGAAAAGTGATTTTTTGAGCCACATGAATAATAACGAGGAGTGAAATGATAAAATTGGATTATTTTATTGCGACCTGTCGACGAGACCCTCGTTTGTTGGTGAGTAACAACGAAACGAAAGGGAAATGTGTAGCCTGGAAATGAATAAAACTCGTTGTGCATATAAAATATTGATTGGCCTTTCCGTGCTTAATAATGGATAATCCTGATGAACTAACTAAGCAGGGACGTAAGGACAAGAAACTTTTAACCTGGGGAGGTGAATTTTTAAGACACCACGTTCTCCTACATACACACACACAACGAGAACGACCCACCTACAATTAGTGGTTTGATTGACAGTAGAAGCATGTAGCGAACTGGACGACTTTGCGGTTTATTCATCACATAATGGTAGTTTGTAGTATCGTGGTGTGTGTAAAACCGGCATGGTGTCGGAGATCGATGATCTAACCCGTTCGCTGGTGTTTGTTGTGGTTGCCTTTTCCTGTCACCTCACTTACTTCTCTGAGCTGCAATTAAACCTGCCTCCGAGCCCTTTCTGCCTACCAGAGAGGGATGAAAGGAAAGAAAGAAACTTTTCGAGTCTCACCGTTTCTCAAGACGTGCATATTTGCCAATCATAGTCCCATTGTAAATGTGTAGGTAGGCAGTTGGTGGCGTATAAAGTGAGAGTAATCCGAGGAATAAATCCAATAATTATTTGGGTCGTGCGAAGCATAAATAGTTTTCTATTGGATCCTAGTTGTTGGAAAGTAAACAAGTAAACGCATTAGTATAAATCTTCCTATTTAGTTTGCTTTATTGGCATGCGGCAGGAGTGGTAAAAGTGCAGACCAAGGCGTTATTCATTTGGTTGGACTGGACGGTTTTTATTTTCCGTGCATTTCACCACAGTGATTTGTCCTCTCATTCAAAAAGCATAAGTAACTACGACGTGTACTACTGCATGCATGCAAAAAGCCAGGAAATACAACTCGAATGAACCACAATAATCAAAATGAACTGCACTCGTTGAGGTTTCCGTCTTATTTTTCAAAGTATTTTTCTTTCTCTTTCTCTCTCTCTCTCTTCACTTTGTAAGTAATAACAATTGCGTGTCGGAAATATTCTCTCTTTTCACCGGACCGCAGTCGTTTTCGGCTATACATAGGTTTTCGGTGGGTGGGTGGAGATGGTGTTTTTTCTTCCATCGCCGACTCGAATAAATGACAATGGAATGGTGATGGTGGTGGTGGATTATTCCGACCAACTCGATTTATCACTTGGTAAAAGTTGGCATGAACCCTGACTGAGCCGGCAGCATTTTTACTTTTTACTCACTCCTGTCCCCACACCTCATCCACTCCGTACACACACATGTATTGACTTTCTTCACCTTTGTGTCAGCCCAGGTTAAAAAAATGTGAAAGCATTGAGAAACTTTGCACCTGCTCTTTTTCTCGTTGAGTTTATCGAGTCCTATTTATTAAATGTCCAGCAGCAGCAGCAGTGGTGGCATGGCTGATTTCGTGCATATAGTACTTGACCCCAGTAAACAGGAGACCTGTCCAACTTGAAATAATAAATGGATCATCATCATCAACTCTATCGACCAAGAGACTTTTAATATTCTGTCAGGTTTCGGAATTATTATTTCAAGCAGCCATGACTTTTGCCTGCTTAAACTACTTGCTAACTAAACGACGACGACAGGGTATAGTAATAATGCGACAAAATTATTTGACGACGACTACTCGTCGTTATTGTGGGCAGGTTGTGACTTTTAGTGGGAGTGCGGATGGATGATGTGCGTCCAAGTCCAAAATGGTACACATGCATGAAATATGAAGTGTGGCTAAATAGCCTCAACTCCCCGTAAAACTCTGAAACGTGTACTTAGAGAGAACAGCTCATTAAAGTTTTTGTCGCCGAGAAGAAGGAAAGCAGGGAAAATAGTTGTGATGACGGAAAATAGAAACGCGCAGCTGTTTCGAGTTAACTCTGGTGCACCGATTAGATTGAGCATGTATGTATGTTGGCTTCCGTCGTTTGGTAAAAGTCACCGAGGCCAAACGGATACAGATTGGCATATTACATCCTCTTTTTTGATTCACCATCGCATACCAGCAAACGCGAAAACTGTCACAGAACGACTTTTTTAGTGTCGTGACAAGATGAGATGAGGGTGTGCCGAGTCGGCTGTCATGTTAACTCTAGACGAGGCGAGTAGTAGTAGTCGTCGTACGTAGTAGAATGAGTGGGGATACGTAAGTTTGTCCGTAAAACGCCAAAGTAGAAAAGGAGCGTCCATGTGACAAGTGTTGAGAACTTATCTGCGACATCATCGGATACTCTCTTCTCTCCCTTGTTCATGGCATGACTCTCATTAAGATCAAATCCGCACCACAATTTGTTAGGAGGACGATTGATGGAATTTTTAAGAATTAAAAAAAAACAAAGAGCAACAAGAGTTGGTTCAAGACAAGGACAATTTTCAACAACTCGACAACGTCCCACCAGACCAGAAAAAGATACTTAACTAGTCTCCTAAAACTGTGACAGCTTCTTCTTCCCACATTCTAAATTGTAACCGTCCGTTCTCCGTCCATCCAATTTTAACAAATCCGCATCGTCCTCTCACATTGATTGACTACGTAATGCACATATCTCTACATACCCACGTAATATTTCCCGTCCCTAGTTTGCATTACGTGATGACAATAATGAGCCCCATGTTCGCCCGGATACATGAGACAGACAAAATTATGTAATTTCAAAAGCCACAGAAATTAAAGCGTTCCTCTTTATTGGAACAAGCAGGCTTTTTGTGTATAATTACTCTCCCTGAGCATGACCCAACTATGTAGCGGTAATGTGCTCCATCCATAAATATAAAATTACATTCTTGGTGAGTGCCTCTAATGTGCCGACAGAAGTGCTCCTTGTGAGACTAATTCATTATGAGGCACGTCATAAAGCACATTCTTCTCGGCGAAACGTATGTCCTTCTCTGTGACAGAATTGGTCTCCACCATTTCCACCACCTTACATGTCCTCTCTCCAGCCTGTCTGCTGAATAAGGGCGACACAGTTAATAACACAGAGGAGAAAAAAAAATAAATCAAGTCTCCTCCAAAATTTGGACCTCATTACCATCTTAAATATTTGTGTTTCGGGGCCAGACTTTCACGACATGTTTTTATTTAACTCTCAACGAACCAAGTTTTAGTTTCTGCATTTTATTATGTAATATTTAGAAAGTGAATTTCCTTCCTTGACTTGGAACAGGTTATTCGCCCGACCAAATATGTCTGACACATAGCTTTTAATAATAATCTTTTTTTCCACCAGAAAGTCGAAATATGTGCGTCTATTGAATGGAATGGAATACTTGACCCAAGGCGAGAAGGGCTATAATAATAATTATTATTATCCCCCTCGACACGCTGAATAATCTTTTACGACACTACTAAACATTAATTTGGACGATAAAAAACGATATTCTTTTCCAAAATAATAAAATCACAGATAAACTGGGGAAGAAAGCGGAGGAAAATTGGCAATATCGTAAAAATAAATGACTGAACCTTTTACTTTGAAGCGTTATTATGAATCCAATCCTCAACAAAACACAGTACAAACCATCAAACTCAAACTACATACAAACACACCAGTCAACATTCCTCTACGTTTTTTTGTCCGCTCGTGCTTGATGGATTTCCTAAATAGTATTCAGCAGCAGCAGCATCGTGTTATTTGATCCAATTTATTTTTATTTTTACTTCACAGTGTGTCTCATGCATTTACAAATGTCGCAAAGTTGCTCCATTTGCATGCCTAATTCCGTAATTGTTTCATCGCTAACGTGACAATTTGGAGATGACGCCTCACCAACGAAACGGTGGCGAAATATCGACATAAAAAAGAACGAGTAGAGTCTCACATTTCAATAATTACGATTGTACATCTACCAAATAATCGGAGGGTGTAGGCGGACGGGTGGGTAGTTGGTTAAGGACCATCATAAAATCACATCCCGACCGAATAATCCCACCCAGTTACGCTGTAGCAGAGCAGCCAACTTATTTCGAAGAAGAAGAATGGACCGCGCTGACGCCGTGGGGTGTCGATCGGTTAGCGAGACTGGATATCGCTCCGTGCCGTGCACTTGACTGGGTTTTGAGACAAGTGTGAAGAATATAATATTGCTTTTCCTCCTCTTCTCGCCGAATTCCAATTACAATTGGAATTTATATATCCAAACCCATTTGCCTTTACGAGAAACCGTTTATCCCAATATTGACTTTTTCCACCTCGTTGGTCGCTCTCTCTTCTTCTCCTGATCATCCTCACACTTAATCGAACGGAATGAACCACCCTCGTGCAAATAAATGGTGTCTATCTCTCTCCTCGTCGTGCAATATGTATCCCGTCCACGCCTTTGTCGTCGCCATTCTATTCTCTCCATCCGCACCACCAGACTCGTCTTTGTGTCCTTGTCGTCGTCGTCGTCATGTCCCATTTTCAC